ATTAATTAATTAAATTATTTAAAATGGGGGAGGGGGTGTGAGGGGTCACCTCTGGTAGACCGTCACCTTATTTTCTTTCCTTGTGTTATACTATTTGTTTTATTTTGTCTCTGCGCTAAATGGCCGTTGTTGTGTAGATGTGTTTCTCCTTACTCAGACAAACCTTGCCCTTCTCCTTTCACAGAGTAGGAGGCTGGGCTCGAAATGATGACGCTGCATCGGGCAGTGTCCGAGACCACCTTCACGGCTGACAGCGTGGTGACCACCACCACCACCAGCGGACCGGACCTCGACTCCTCCGCCGCCGCCGACCGTTGCTACCGGACGCTACCTTCTACGCCAAAGTCCTCCACGTCTTTCAGGTTTCTCCGACCCCCTTCCTACACGCAACCCCGTGGCCTGCTAGACAAAACTGTGTCTGATCAGACGTTCCTCACGTGTTCCTCTTACACCGGCCTGTCGAGAACTGCCTGGGCTTCCAACGATTCTTTCGAAGGCCGATGTCGGTCCCGTCATAACTCCGAGCGGAGCGGGGACAGACCGCCGGTGAGTCCGACCTCTAAGAGTGCTGGGAGTGGCAGCAGAGGTTTCGGCGGGACTCGTTCTTCTCCCCACGACAACCGACGCCACCGGCACCACCGCCAGGAAGCGAATGAGAGGCCGTCTTTGGACAGCGTAGCGGCAAAGGATAGAAGACTCTCTTCCAGTCTATCTCACAGCAGTAGCGGCCAGGGCTGGAGCAAAGACTCGTCGTCCTCGCCTAACCGTCTGAAAAACGCCGTGAACAAAAACAACCACAGTAGCAATAATGTCGTGAACAAACACTCCAGCCCCGTTGTTTCGAATGGTTCGGCAGTGACGCCCCTTTCGCGAAAAGGCAAATCGGACAGCAATAATACTCATAGTCACGACCACAGTCGTAACGCCAGCAATCAAAACAATCACCACAGCAATCATCAGAGCAATCATAGGCACAGCCAGCCTCCGAACTCGTTCAGCCCGCCTGAAAAAGAATCGAGGAACACCGGTGAGATCCGGCTAGAGGTCCCGCCCCACATGCCCCGCTCCACAGGGCGCACCGCCGCGCGGCAGCTGGAAAAGAGCCAGAAGCAACAGCAGAAGCACGCGGACCGCCAGGCTCTGCGCAGCTTCAGCGGTGGCGGCGGCGGCGGCGACTGGGCAACGTCCCAGACACCCTTGCAATCTGCGCGTTCTATGCCAGGTCTGAACGAGACTAGTGGCAAGGCGGCGAAAAGACGCTTCTCAGAAGACAGGGCACAGAAACAGAGCAAAGCTTGTGGGTTGTGGTTCCTGTTTAGGCGAAAGAAGAAGAAGGATAAGGAGAACGATAGCACCCCGTGGCATTCGCCGGCCGTCCCTCTTCAACCTCATCGCGGGAACCGCTCGCCATCGCCAGACGGTCGCTCGGGAAACCGCCGCGGCGACTCGCGTGGGCGTTCAGCGACAGTCGGGTCTTCCTCCCTCAACGAGCCTCCTTCACCGACCTCCTTGAGGGCGTTTAGGACTCCTGTTACTCAATCCCAATACTCGTCCTCCCACCACCCGCGCTCCGAGCGACTCTACCAGCCCGCGGTGACAAGTTCTCGCCACGCGCAAGACTCTCGAGAAAACGTCGCCGACCCCAACCACTCTCATTCTCACCAAAATCATCAGCCACAAAGACTTGCCCCCCACACGCCTTTGTCCAGGACTCAGTCCGACGACCGCGCGTTGAAAGCGGAGCGCGCCACCGCCGGTTCCCCATCTCCACACGCCAACAAGCGCTCGGTCGCCAAAGCGATAAGCGCGCCTTCAAACTCTGCGCCTGCGCGTAGACCTTCGCGGTCGGAGACGTCCACGCCAAACCCGAAGGGCGGAGCGGTGAGCGGCGGCGTCAGCGGCTACGGGTCGGCGTCCAACCTCAGGGATTCTGTGGGCTGCAACACCAACAACGGTTCCAGCCAGTTCTTGCTGCAGCGCGAGAAGTCTTCGCACAGCGCCAGCCGCACCGACCTCGAGGACGAGTCTCAGCAGGGTCACGGTCAGTGCGCCGCTGACCAGCACAACACCACCAACGGCTCGGCCGGCGGCTTGTCAAGGTCCCAGTCTTTTCCCAGCTACGCAGAGCGGCGACCGTCCTCATATCTCGCAGACACCAAAGTCCTCACCGACGCGGAGGACTTCGAGTTCCGACCCTCCCCCAACATGGCGGGCCCTCTACACTTGTCCCTGTGTGGCTGCGGCTTCCTCGGGATGTACCACCTGGGCGTGGTCTCCAGTCTCGTGCAGAGGGGCGGGCCCTTCCTGGCGCGCGTGGATAAAGTGGGCGGGGCATCTGCCGGTGCGCTGATGGCTGCTTTGCTGGTGACCGCCGGAGACAAGATTGAGGTCAGTGGCCTTTTCTTTTTTTCTAAACCCGTCATATGTCTTCTATACGCTTTGCAATGATAAACGCCTGTAAAAACTATCACTCTCCGATCTTTCCTTTTGCATTTTTTTCGATGTTATAATGGCATTATCCAGACATGCCAAGCATCCCGATTTCAATCGCGTGTATCCCGATTTTTCTGGTCCTTCTGTTGCGCCAGATTTGTCAAAAAACTTATTCTGCCTTCATATGTTTATGGACATCCCTTTAAAAATTTTTAATCAGCTTGGCAGTCTCATTGGGGATTTATCGTTTTTCCTGATTTTTATCGTTTGACATGGACTGGTTCGACTGTATTTTTTTTTCTTTTCTTCTATTATTTACGAGTTTTGATTTTCTGTTTGCAACACCGTTTTGTCGTTTAAAAAAATCCAACAAAAAATGTGATTATTGGGGGCTGCCACTCGCATCCTACTTCAAAAGCTTTTTGTTCCATTTTGCCTGCTTTTTCAATCGTTCAGCGACCATGGTCATAGATGATGTCTCGTTACATGTTTGACTTGTAGCCTATGAAGTAGCCTGTAACCTTCTTGACTGATAGGTACCCGCTCCGGTATGCACATTCTAAATCGGAGAGAATCCCGGTTTGTCTGCGTTTGCGAAAAAGACTAATCTCTCGGAAAAATTCCTGAACGTAAGTCCGACGCCGTCTGAGACGTTTTAACGCTCTTTTACGTCATTTGCATGTCTCGTATTCCTAATGCTTTGGTCACGAAGTGGCCTCGACTGGCTTTTATTGTACGCGCTGCTCTGTTTGGAATGATCACTTAAATATTATATGGCATGAAGAGGTATCCGTTTCGAGGACCTCGGGTTTGTCCGATGGTTCGCAATTTCGATTACACAACAGAAGGTCAGTGCAGGTTTTTCCGTTTTCTTTGGGGTGTTAATGCATTATTATTTTTAAAAATATTGTTTAAAATTAAAACATATTTGTTTATTTGTTTATTTATTCATTTATTATTGTTTTATGGGATGGTTTACAATTTTGATAATATCGATAAAACGTCTCTTTCAACAGCGGGTATAAAGACTTAACACGCCTAATTAATTTTTAAAATTATTTTTACCGGGTTCAGTATCCCTGTCTGTTGGGGTGGCGGGTTGTTGGAGGGCGCCACTGGTTGGTCCAGCTTCTGTTCCCAGCACTAAATGACCATTATTGTATCGGTGTACTTCTCTTTACTTAAACAAACATATTGCTAGAATATTGTCTCCCATTCCGCCCAGTGGATGGTTGGCGGGTGTTCTGGCGTGGTTTGCTCCTTCTTTCCTATCAAACGTTGATCGTCCTTATCTCCCCTTCTTCTTTTTTTATGTTTGTTACTCTCTTGTAACACCTCTAATCTGGCGCTCAAATGACCTTATGCAGTTGCGAGCGCTGTAAAACCTCTACTAAAACTGAAACTAACCATTCCTCCCAGCACGGCCGAAACAACCCGCCACTTTACTAATCTAAATTGTGTCCACATAGAACAAGAGACGTGTACACATACACATGGCTCAAACGCTGTTTTTTTAAGGAACTGAATCGGCGGTTTCGGGTTGCAGTCAACTGCCATTAGGCTCTCTGCTTTCTCGTAATACTCTGAAGGCTCGGCGATGCCTAGACAAATTCCAGACGCGGTCATCGATCGCGCGTAGTGCGCCTGTACTGGCAGACCACCGGTCCTGTCTTCATGAGCCTCTTGGGTCACGAACGAGTAATAGTATCGGCGCTTTTAGACTGTATCGTGTGGCCCCCTTCTCTCGTTACCTCGCCGCGCGCCGTGTGTGTCAGTTATTGTTGCACATAATATAGACAGCGGCCTCTGCAGCGTCAGCAGAAACTAGAGATTTTAAAGCCTTTAATTGTTTTTGGCTTTGCTCTGTGCTTTGAGTGAGACCATTAAAATTAAGATAATTTCGAAGGCTGGTTCCTTCCTTCGGCCTTGTGGGTCGGTAGTTCAGCCGTTAGGCTTTTGGACTCTCAGCAGTAAGTTGTGTGTTCAAAACCCATCAAAAGTCTGACGTTGTATGTGTCTTGGGGAAAGGCGCTTTGCACGAATTTTTCCCCACATCACCCAGATGGGAATGGGTGTATCCTGTATTATTATTTTTGCCTGTTGCCTGTCACTTCAGGCTGAACAGGATACAGGATCCCAGCAGGCTGACTGTGGTACTGCTTAAAGTAATTTCCCCTCTCTGATATTAAACTGTCGTTTTGTGCGTGCAATGGCGAAGGCTGTGACCGCGACACCACAGATGCCGAGTTTTTAACTGCTTCTTTCCGGTTTCCTCCTGGACTTTTAAAGACGAAACTATCTAGGTGGCTGGTGGATGGTCTGCGTGGTGTAGAATGCACTTCTTTCTCCCCTATCAAACATCTATGGTTACCATCTCGCCTCGTTCTCTTGTAACTATATAGAAATCTTCTTCTTCTTCTTCTTCTTCTTCTTCTTCTTCTTCTTCTTCTTCTTCTTCTTTAAATTAAATGGACTCAAAATCTAACCCATGGAAGCGTAAAATAATTACAATAAACTCCGAAGCATGCCAGGGGGGCTAATTGTTAGGGATTTGACCTCGTTAAATTTGGCCGCCAAGGATGTTAAAAATCAAATAGATACAAGGAGTTATGAAACATTAAAATCTGCATAGTCATGCACTTCACTTCAAATCCTCCCAAAAGCAGTGGTTCTTCAAACGTTGTCAAAATCAGAATGCGTGTTTCAAAGTCCTCCAAAACAGCGCTTTTCAATGAGTTTTCTGAAGCCCCAAAAAATCTCTTTTCATGCTATGAGTTTTTTAAAGTCCCCCCAAAAACAGCGCGTATTTAAGTATTGTCGAATTTCCCGAATGTGCAGTTTAAATGAGTTTAAGTCCCCCGGTCCCCCCCAAAACATAGCATCTTGAAGCGTTGTCGAACAACTAGCACGCTCGTCCTCAATGAGTTAACTCTATTGTTTCATTATCATAGTAGGAAGAGTGACGCCAAGTAGGAAGAGTGACGCCAAGATATGGAAATACATCCTCTCATGCCACGCCGGACGCTGAGCGTGTGTACGTGCCTCTGCATTCCTTATTCCGTATCAATCGAGCGTTGTTTCGGCCTCCTACTGGTATTGCTCCGGGTCAAAGACATTAATTTGCTTGTGTGTGTGTGTGTGTGTGTGTGTAGTACGCGTATTTTAGTGATTGGTCCAACTACTTTTCTTTCCTTCTGTTGTTTCTGTCTGTCGTTCTTTCCTTTCCGCACTTCTGAATTATTATTATAATGTGTTTTTTTTAATTGATATTTTTTTTCTTTAATGTGCATACATATACAGTTTAGGCGACATGCTTTTTATTAACTAGACGGTCAAGTATGTTGGGATAATCGGTTGCTACCGGTGTCTGAAGTAGAGCTCACTGTCGCGATCTGTAGTGAAAGCTGTAAGTTTGAATTCCACTTTTGGATGTTATTCCATTGAAAATCCACATCTGCTTGCTGGGCTGTTGTATCCTGTTCCGTGTTGGTCCTGACAGGCGTGGTCGAAGTAAACCTGCTTCCAAAGTTTAAATCAAATGCATGTGTTTTTATGCCGACAACGATACAATTCCATTTAGGGGGCAGGTTGCTTCGACCATGCCTATCCGGTCCAACTCGTGCTGGGAGAGAGAGACAGAGAGGGAGAGAGAGAGACAGAGAGGGAGAGAGAGAGAGAGAGAGAGAGTGTCCCAACAGAAAAACAAGTCGAAATAGGGATACTAAATTTTGATAATAACTCTCCACACTCGGGGAATAGGACTCACATTTTGAAAACGTGCCGAGGCCCCAAACTGCCACACCTGAGACGTCAGCGAAATGAGACTCATTAATGTTCTGTGAAAACAAAAGAAAACAACGAAAACAAAAAATCGAGAGCGCGGCTGAGAAGAATTATTAATTTACAAGAAGACGGAGGGGGAGCGGATGGATAACTCTGTTGTCTTCGCCCAGGTAAACAAACGGAGCCCCCATACATAAACTTTGCGATTGTCGAGGTCGCTGATGACGTCAAGTGTGGTCATCAGTCCGATCGTTTGACGTCACGCACTTACCTCTAATTGGCCGACAAGAGTTTTTGTCTCTCCAGACATGTCCCGGCCCTGTCTAATGCCTGGTCTCCCGCTGTTCTCCTCATGTGAGATGGATTGTTGCGTTGTGTGAGTCCTAGGCCTTCCTTCCTACTATTATTCCTAATTTTTAATGTTTCGTTTGTTCATTTGTTTGTTTGTTTGTTTGTTTATTTGGTTTTTTTTGTTCGTGGGTGGTTGGCAGGTGGTCTGGTGTGGTTTGCACCTTCTTTTCTGTAAAAGGTCTATCGTCTCTATC